AACCGAATTACAGGACTGTATTTTTGATTTTATATTTCGGAACACAGATTTTCAGCAGAGTCAGTGGATCTACTGGCAGTACTTACCAGTTGAATTCGGAATATAGCCATGATAATTTCACATTTTCTTCTCATATCTGAGACGTACATTACGGCTAACACTGTATATGAACAGTTGTTTAAGTTTGAACGTTTCGAGAATTGCGCAGAAGCTTGCACATGAATCCAACTTCACTGAACAATATTTTGAAAAATCTGTGTCTATCATATCACATTATTTGAAATTAGTAGAAAATGAAGAACATTCCAGCTGAAAATGAAATTCTGGTTTAGTACGACAATCCGGTATCGGATGTGATACATGCAAATCAATCATAAAGGACCCCGCACGAAAACACGGGAAATTGGCTCTCGGTCGAATTGGCTGAAATTTGACTATGTTGTTGTTGGGTGGCTCATTAAAAAAATATGTGAGTTTAAAAAGTTTTGTATGTTTAGTTTCTGAGATATAAGCCTACAAAGTTCGTAAAAACGTCGTATCGGGGTAGGATTGACAAAGAAAAAAACTGTTTTTTTATTATAACTGAAACAAAATAAGCTAGAAAATGTATTGATCGGAACTCATAAACATGAAAATTGAAAAACTTTTTGCATATGACAGTCAACATATTGAAAATAGTGTGTGTAAAATGGGATCCAAATTAACGGAACTACTAAAGGCAATATTGAACAACTGAATTCGCTCGTTAGTTTCCTCAGCTTTCATTCAATCAACAGTATCAATCAATTCCTTTCTTTGTGATCAAAAACAAGCTTTCAATTGTTTTCAAAAAGGGGTACAACACAAAATTCTAAAAATTCATATTTCGAACAGAGATAGTTATCAAGAATCAAAATTCATTCTCGAAGCCTACAATGGACTAAAGCTATAATGTCTCACCAGAATATAACTTGTTGGTTTTGGAATAGTGCTCGAATTTTTTTTCCGAAAAATGAATTTTTTGACCGTGCCTCGTATACACCCTGATTTACTATAATTCATGTGATCATAACTAGACATGTATTTGAGTTCCGATCAATACATTTTCTAGCTTATTTTTTCTTATTTATACTAAAAAAACAGTTTTTTTCTTCGTCAATCCTACCCCGATACGACGTTTTTACGAACTTTGTAGGCTTATATCTCAGAAACTAAACATACAAAACTTTTCAAACTCACATATTTTTCTAATGAGCCATCCTTCAATAACATAGTTAAATTTCAGCCAATTCGACCGAGAGCCAATTTCCCGTGTTTTCGTGCGGGGTCCTTTCATGACATTTCGGGTCAGGATACTTTGCCCAGTTTAAAATTCTAAAACAGGTTTATCGAGAAGTTGAAAAATTGGTTCAGCGACCGACGTATTTTGAGCAAGTCCAGAATAATACTTATCGCTAATGTCGTTAATTTTTGTGTCGTTATAAAGACATAAGAAGTACCTACTCGACTTTCTAGCATTAAAATTCAGAGCCCTAATGGATCGATCAATAATCATTGTTTATTAAAGCGATATAGTCCTAGGAAGAAGTTGAGTTTGTCGTATATTGTTAATTTATAATATCAACTATTGATTTCACGGTGACAGTCACAGACAGGTAGTTGTTTGAGGGTAATTTGTTTGGAATCTAGAAAAACATGTAATGAAAAACCAAAAACCCTATTTACAGTCGCTGTAGACATGCTACAAGTTTTTTGCATATTCGCAGGACTGTGGTTTCCACCCTTTGTCATTTTTCTCTAATACGATACAAGATGTGAATTCTATTATTATTTTTACAATTCACTTCATTATTATATTTTCTCAATATTTAAAATTTGTTTGTTAGTGCTAAAAATCTCATTGTTATGAAAACATAGATTTCTGATCCATAATATGATTGTGTGGAAAATGCGTGTCCTTGAGACGATACTCGAAAAAGTTTACAGGGTCGTTCAGAATTTTCTCATCATATTGCTGATAGCTGATAGTGTTGCGATTGAGGAAACCAAGACAATTTGTGGAGATTGCGTTCCCATAATTCCAAATAAATGTGAAATTTTATATTCTTCAATATACACTGTGTCTCACTTCTGATGGAAGCACCCCTGTATCTGTTGAGTTAGGATTCTGAAATTTGCAAGAGCAAAAGATAGTTGGACGTCCTGATTCCGAATCCGAAGTGATTTTCAACATATTATATTGTCTCCTAACATCATTTTTCGAAAATGTGGGTGGTTCCATGACTGCTGGCGAGCTGTGTATATCACTGAAGATGACGCCGCTTGATCATGGAGTGTATTTTTGGTATATCTCTCAATCCTGCAATTTTCAGAATCCTCACTCAGCAAATTCGAAAGATACAGGGGTGCTTCCATTAGAAGTGAGACACACTGTATATACCTATATTCTTCATCATCATCATGATGCCTATTGAAACTTAGTAAGTGCATGTCATATTTCATGAAAATATCTAAAACAGGATTGAAGTTATGATGAGAAAACGATTTTTTCTTAAAATCTTAACACCCTATAGCTCAAGACTTGATAGGTAAGTGCATATGTTCATATCAACTTTTCTTTTTAAGGAACACAAACCATATCCTATGTTTCAAGAAATCAATTGAATTACTACCTGTATATGGAACTGTCATCTCCATGTCATACCAAAATGTTGTTGTACTCAGATTCGCGGTCGTCGTAATCACGTGTTCTTATAGGTACCGGTTCTGCTTCTTATATCACAGGAGATGACAGATTCAAGATTACAGGGGCTAATTTTTCAGTTCAAAATAAGACTTTGTTTTTCGATCAGAGCGTTGAAATTTCAAGATTTTTTATTTTTTTTTCCTCATTTTCATTAATTTTAGAGTTCACAGATATATTTTTGAGGAAGTCAATTCCTTATTTGCTCCATACACTCTTTTGTGGTACGCCATTGGTAGATTTTGGAATACGAAATGAGTTCTTTTTTTTTGTTCAAACACAAAAAACACTCCATATTCAGTTTGTTTGATTTTAATTACAAAAATTACCTTAATAATTCAAAACCTAACGAACCTTGACTAAATATGGAAGGTGGTGGAAAATGAATAAATCTTCTTAACGCTCTTTAGATTGGTAACAATGCGATTTCAGATACATATTTATGAAAAAAGTCTTATTGACCTGAAAAAGTCCCTGAAATCTTGATAGGGAATTTTGAAACACCCTGAAGGTTCTCTGTCCCGCATTCCTTCTGCCTTAAAGAGTTCTAGAACTCGAAAATGATTATAAGTTTTCCGATTTCCAATCGGTAGGTGGAACTTTTATATGAAAAAACTTTTCGTAAGACTCATCTAAGCCAACAATAATTGAATTTATTGAAATTAATTGCGAGTTTTCATGAATTTGGAAATGTTTGCTAACCAACTGTACCCTATATACCTGCACTATTCTGTTCCTCAATATATTCTCAGGAACAGTTATCATGAACTCAAGATAAAAAATAGGTTTTGGACGTTTCGTTAACAGAAACTGCGAATATCCTCTGTTGACAAAATTATCAGGGGTAATACCATGCCATGAGTGCTCGGAATACTATCGATAGTAATTCTATATTGGAAATCAACGAGATCCAATTGCTTGAGGGTAACACCACGAGTACGCAGGCAATTTGATCGAGTTTAGAATTTCTGCCAGAATTTTCGATAGTATTGCGACCACGAATTGTATTTATTGAGACAATTCCACGACCGAATAAAACTGTTATCTCCATGTCATACCAGCTGATCAGCTAGGTTTGTTCTCGTTCGAAAAACAAAACACTCTGAAACCATCAGGAGCATGCGTAGTTTCAAAGAACTGTTGGCATATTTCATGTTCCGTGAAACTGCGCATGCTTCCGATAGTTTCGGACTGTTTATGTTCAGAACGAGAACGAACCTGATGTTGTTCTATTCAGATTCAAGGTTGCGGAATTGTCAAACGTCAGAACTCTCCAAACCATCTAGTAGAGACGCCGTTACCTAACTTCCTTCAGAATTAATTGACACATGCGAAGCTTGGCCTATCCTCTTCAGGAATGGAACACTTCCTATTGAAAACCAACGAACTCACGTCCAAGCTAATAGACATTCTGTCAGGTCCCGTTGGTCGATCGGTTGCACGAAGCTCCTGGGCACCTTGGGCTTACCTCCAGTGCTCACTGCAGCTCCAGCTTCGATTGAATCTCCAGCTTCCACCCTTTCTAGAGGAGTCTCGTAGTTGAAAGAGGGCGTTTCCTCGATGGTGGGTCTGCGAAGCAGAAGAGCAGACTTCTGGACCTGAGGTGGTCGATGTAGAGTCTGTCCATGTACTGTCATGGATGGTTTGCGACGCTAGGATATTTCACTGGTGATTAGGAAGGTTCTACGTTCTTTCTTTAAAATTAGTGATAGGCTTTGTGAAAGTTTTGTTATCAAAAACTCAATATCCTCTGTTGACAAAACTATCAAACATCGGAACTCAAGTCAAGTCAAAACCTTCCAGCAGAGGCGCCGTAACCTTATACTCTTCCAAGTTAATCGACACCGGCGAAGTCCGATCCTCCTCATAAATGGAATACCTCCTATCAAAAACAACGAATTCGCGTGCAAGCTAGTAAGTATCCTCTCAGGCAGTAACCGCTGTCCGTTGGTCGCTTGGTTGCTTGAAGCTCCTGGACACCTTGAAAATGGCTCCAGTGCTCATCGAAGCTCCAGCTTCCACCGCTTCGAGCGGAGTCTCGTAGCTGCAAGAACACATTATCTCGATCATGATCGGGGTTCTCCTGTAGGAGCTCTGTTCGAAGCTCATGCAGTTCTTGTGGGACCTGTGATGGTGGATGTAGGGTCTGTCCAGTGTCCATGTACTGTTATGGATGGTATGGTGATTAGGGAGGTTCTACGTTCTTTGTTTAAAAATAGTAATAGGCTTTGGGGGAGTTTCATTATCAAAAACTGAATATCCTCTGTTGACGAAACCATCAAACGTCGGAACTCTCCAAACCTTCCAGCAGAGGCGCCGTAACCTTACACTCCTCCAAGTTAATCGACACCGGCGAAGCCCGATCCTCCTCAGGAATGGAACACCTCCTATCAAAGACCAACGAACTCACGTCCAAGCTGGTAGCCATTCTCTCAGGCCGCGACCTCCGTTGGTCGCTCGGTTGCTCGAAGCTCCTGGACACCTTAGGCTTGGCTCCAGTGCTCACCGAAGGTCCAGCTTCGACTGAAGCTCCAGCTTCCACCGCTTCGAGGGGAGTCTCGTAGCTGGTGGAGGGCGTTTCCTCGATTGTGGGCGGAGTTTTTCTGTCGAAGCTCTGTTCGAAGCTCATGAAGTTCTTGTGGCGGTGCTGGACTCGGTCTGCGAAGCAGGAGAGTCTCCTGGACCTGTGGTGGTGGATGTAGGGTCGGTCCACTGTAATGGATGGTCTGTGGCGCGAGTAGTAGGGTCGTTCGATGGTTATCAGAGAGGTTCTTCGTTCTTTGTTCAGGATCGGGATTATGGAGCCTGAAACAGAATAATAGGGTGTAGGAACTGTGGATTTCGGATCCTGTCCTGTTTATGTGTTTCCTTTTCATTTCAGTGGAGGCTCAATATTTGTTTCTACGATCATGCAAAACAAAACACTTACGTAAGTAATTACGTAAGTATGCAAAAATTACTTCAATTCTTTGATTATGAATTGAACCTACAGATAACATTTATTTTGTAATTTGAGTCAACATAAGCACATGGATTTTGGTAGGTAAAACAAAAATGAATGAGTAAATATGATGGACCAATTAGTATGTGTGAATTGTGTGTTCAACATATTCAAATTTTCTTCACAGTGTACTCTAAAATCACATGTGGTGTCAAAATATTTGATAATTATTCAATGTTTGTTTCCAAACTTGGTGATTTTGATGATGTGGTTGGTTATCCACATGAATTCGAAGCAGACGAAGATGAAATATCCTGTACCAAAAATATAATTTTCGAAATCCCGGTAGATTCAGAAATTATAATTGTTTTGTAGTTCTTTCCAGAAACCAAGTCCGGTCCTGAGTTCTTTCATTCGATAATACCTTTCCTCAACTCTGCTGCTATGTCAATGTCCGAAAACAATTAGTTGAATACTTTTGGTCAAATGATGAGTATATGGTAATGCACAAGGATGACATCAAAGAAATATTCATCCGAATGTTGTTTGATATGATGGTACCAAATCGGTCAATATGTGCCGTATAATTCGAAGAGCCACACTTGTAACCCCTGGTTCTTCTTAGTTGGTTAATAGTTTTTGAAAAATACGATCCAGAAGGTCAAAATTTTGACTTCTAAAAAGAAAATGAGTTTTCCTAGTCCGGCTCTTAGGTGGGTCAGAAAAGGTTAGTTGCTGGTGGATTCTAGCCGATAAGATAGATATTCCTCAAATAACATTCATCAAAAATCCGGTACGAATTCAAATAATGCCCTGTATATCTGTTACGAATAAGCAAAATATATTTCTTCACATATATGTCAATTCACCTTGACTTCCATTATCCGCAGTCAGGCTATGGCTGGTTGGTCATGACTCACCCTGTATATGTAAAGGGTGTGATGCACGAGAGGGTTGATATCACTTGATATCCACTTCTTATTCTTCAATCGAGACTTCAATATATTATTCCATTATAATAATATTTCAATAGTAAGCTTTTATTCAACTAACAATGTATCTTTGTCCAGGTGGAATATTTGAACTCAATTTCAAAGTAGATATCTTCAACCGATTGAGCTGACATTTTGTATACACGTTTAGTTTGTGTAAGACGTTATTCTAAATCCAATACGGCGAACCATCCGAGATGGCGGAATAGGTATATCAAATGAAAGGACATGCTGAGAGTAACTCGAGAAATGATGTGACGTTATTCTAAATCCAATATGGTTGACCATCCAATAAGGTGGACCATCCAATATGGTGGACCATCCAAGATGGCGGAATAGTTATTTTCAATGAACTTCTACGGTAAGGATATCAAATGAAAGGACTCGTTGAGAATAACTCGAAACAATTATGTTATGTCATTCTTTTTCCATACAGACGTACCACCCAAGATGGCGGAATAGTTACTTTTGATGCACTTCTACAATATCTGTATACGGAAGGGCTCGTTGATAGCAACTCGAAAAATGATTTGACGTCATTCTTAATCCAAGATGGTGGAAAAATTATTATCGATGCACTTCTACAGTATGGGTATCAAATGGAATAGTTCGTTGAGAATAGCTCGAAAAATGATGTGCCGTCCTTCTGAATCCAATATGGCGGACCATCCAAGATGGCGGAATAGTTATTTATTATGCACTCTTACAGTATGAGTATCAAATGAGAGGGCTCGTCGAGAGTAACTCGGAAAAAAATGTGACATTACTCTGAATCCAATATGGCGCACTATTGATTTATTTTGTACTTTTATATAATGAAATGTTTTGCTGAGAATAAAGATGCCGATTTGAAGAAAAGCCAGCGATAACTAAAGAGTCTCAGGAAGAGAAAATACATTTCTTCTTTCAATTTCCAAGTATCAACTTATAACCTCGTTATACACAATTCATATGATCATAAATGCTTGTCGCACGATTTACTTGTGTAAGTAAACTAGTACTGATTTAATTATGTAAAATCTGCTGTGTTAAAATTTTTTAAATTTCAATTTAATTAAATATTGATCATCGCGACAAGCTTCCATGATCAGATGAATTGTGTATAAAGAGGTTATACGTTGATAGTTGAAATTCACAAGGAACATTTCATTGTCTTAATTTGAGACCGTTTAAATAAAAGCTTTTTTCTGCAACCGACACAAAAGTCGTCCATTTTGATACCAAAATTAGCTCTTAAATTGACGTTTTTTTTACTGTCACAAAAATAGGTATGTTGCTAGGCAACATATTTAGTTCCTAGGAGCTAAAGTTGAATTTTAGTTCCTAGGAGCTAAAGTTGAACTTTAGCTCCTAGGAACTAAAAATGATGTACTGGAAGTCATCAAGAATAAACAACATTGTGACGGTTGGTTATCTGGGTTGAGACGCATACCTGATTTGTTTCCGATTTCAGCAGATTTGGCATTTCATACCCATGCTGGAGATATAAATACACCTTATTATAGTTTAGTATTGGAATTATAAACATCTCAGTTAAGTATTTTTGTTTTGATCAGGGAAGCCTTCAAGATTCAAATACTTGCTTGATCTGTATTTCATTATCGTTATTCTCGGGATGGATAACTTGTTTTTGAATAATCACGGCAAGGCCAAGCAATAGTTTTTTGTCTCAAACAACGATATTGTTTAGCTTCATTCGATCATCAAACACAGAGTGTAGTATGGAGAGGAATAAATGATCACTATTATCATTGTTGATATATATGCTCACTAACCTAACATTTTCCACGTCTTGTTCCTATAGCTGGCTCTAGCGCGGTGTTTGCCATTAGAGCACCTGGTCCATACACAAATTATGTCACTCTGTGGTGGTATTTATATTGAAACTTCAATTCGAACATCCTTGAAAACCTAACCTGCTGTTAATGCAGGTAGAATATTCTCACCACATGGATTATTTGTCAATATTTGTTGCATTGCATACATATATGGCACGGCATTGGTGGTTACTTCACATGTTCATTTGAGTTAATCGTTTCGGTTGCAGAAAAAATAGCATGTTTCATTCGGATCAAAAGTGACTTTGTTCGACTCGCAAATTTTGCTTTCGCTCGGCTTCGCTAAACGCTCCGCCTCGCAAATGCAAAATTCGCTTGTCAAACAAAGTGTCACTTTTGATCCTAATAAAACAATCTACTATTTTATTTTTGATTTATTTCAGTTCCAACTGATAATGCCTATGAACTCAACACTGTTTGCTTTCTGAGACTTTCCCCTAATGACTCAACGTCGAATTTATCGAGCATATCATCTAACCGAAATAAGAACTTCATGAAAAATGATTTCCCTCGATATCGGGTTACCCGCATTTCCAAGGAAAACGCGATATCTGCGTGGTAGACTGAACAAATGTGTCGTCAAAGTGGGCGTTGCCATCAAACTTTCTTGGTTCCAGCATTAAACCGGATAAAGTCTTCAGATAGACTAACTATAGGAACTATCTGAAAACCCTAATAACCACGGGGTACTCAAGGATATCTACCCGCTACGTTGTTATGTGCCTTTTATGGGCTTTCCTAGGATCCCATGATTAGGTTAAGAAGTCCATGCAGTGGAAGTTATAGATGATGTAAAATCTAGATCTCACGAGAATTCCCTTCATAGTGCAGGAAGATTCAAAATTCGATGTAAATATACAGGGTGATTTATTGAGAATGGAAAATCTCTGAAGTCCAGATAGTCCATAGTATATAGTCTCGTGTTTAAAGCGTCAATGTTCTATCCACGTTGAATTACCGGTAGTGGGTTCGATTCCCACCACGACCGCAGACATTTTTCTGATGGCGTAAGAAAGTGTCTGGGATCACACGTAAAAAGGTAATACCTCCGTCATTCCTTGCTTGCACAAGTCTCTTGAAGACTTCTGAGGGTTGTTCGTGAGGGGGCAAACGAATGATGGATAAGAACAATCTTAGATCATTTTTCTCAGTAAACACAAAAATAATGAGATTTGGCCCAATATGCCTGATGCGAATGTTGCTGGTTTAGGAGATACAGGGTGTTGTATTTCTAGGTTTTCTGACATGAGGGATATGAATTTGCAACTTATTTTGTGATTGTTCATAGAGGGAGCTAGTGGCACTCTGTTACTTCGATAATTTACATCATATCTTCAATTTCAATTCATTGATGATCAAAATAAGTGGAAAATCTGAAAGCTCGTTCAATTTCACATAAAAAATGTACACCTCATCAAATTGTCTAGCTTCAACGGTTTTTGTGTTATTCGCTCTTGAAGAGCTTTATTTTCCACTAATGACATTCCAATAATTTTATTTATTGAATTAAGAATGGGAATTATCTGTACTACAGATAGTAAAGATTCAGGCCAACATGCTTTTCAACAATATTGCTGGTTCAAGAGATACAGGGTGGTTAAGAAGAATATTTCATTTCAAAATATCTTCTCCTTACAACCCTGTATCTCTTGAACCAGCAAAATTTGTATGAGGCATGTCGGGCTGAATCTTTATATTCGGGTGTTCACTATCTGTAGTTCAGGGATTGCTAATTCTTAATTTGATAAATAAAATTATCAAATTTTTATAATTGGAACGTAAATCTCTTCAAGAGCGAATAACACAAAAACCGTTGAAGTTAGACAATTTGATAAAGGGTACATTTTCCATCTGAAATTGAACGAGCTTCCAGATTTTCCCCTTAATTTGATCATCAATGGATTGACATAGAAGATATAATTAAAATTATCGAGGTAACAGAGTGCTACTACCGCCCTCTATGAGCAATCACAAAATAAGTTGCAAATTCATATTCCTCATGTCAGAAAACCCAGAAATACATGATTTCACGTTCATATGCTGTTGAAACTAAAAAGGTTATTGTGAAACTGCGAAATAAAATCTGTCCCTAGAAAACCCTGTATCTCCTAAACAAGCAACATTCTCATCAGGCATATTGGGCTGAATCTCATTATTTTTGTGTTCACTTTCTGTAGTTCAGAGATTTCCCATTCTTAATGAATCACCCTGTATAATATCGATGACGTATTTCTGTAATAAAAAAGAGAGTTTTCCTTTATTTTTCCTAAAACTAACCCTCTTCGAGCTACAGCCACTGTAAGTTGGGTAAGAAACAAAAGATTACTCGAAATTGTGATCATAATAACGGATCAATTGCAAGAATTACAGTAACGCACGCCTCTGAAGTAGGTAGCAGTGTACAATGCGTACCGACATACGATCACCTCCGTATGCAAGCTTTTAATCCATTGCGTTCGGAAACGATGTCGTAACTTCCCATTTCGTTGATACGATCTGCTGGCAAAACGTTTATAGTTGGATGTAGAGAATGCAAGATACAGAATTCTTATAATTTTTTTTATGTCCCACAAGAGCATGGTATTCAAAGTCAGATTTCCGTTTTTTAACATAAAATTTGGGCCAATAATAATGTGGTCTTCCAACAGTGAACGCAAGACGAAAGTTTCCGGAAAACGCACTATTCAGAAGACTGAAATTCCTTCAAAATTCTCACCTCACAATAGACTTCTTTTCTTTTTTTTCCTCTCTTGTCCTAGCAAATTTGATAATTCAATATATCTTGTAAATACAATAATGATGGATTCAAACTCAATGTATAATCACTGTGTAACACAGGATGAAGGACCTCGGACGGTGGCCTTTTGGGTATCCAATGAAGCTCCTCAATTATTATCATTATGAGTGTGGTCTTCCCTCCATCTCCATCTCCCCGAGAACTGGGTTAACATCATTTTCGAAGCAAGAAGGATACAGAGTGTCTAAAAAGACAGGTACATGCAAATTTTCAGAGCATTTGATCTCTTATATTTGTCAAAGTTTTAGATAATACTTTTTTTTACCTCACTCACATTGGCTGTTGCTCCAAGGGGGTGAATTTTAGGACACATGTTTATACTGGGTGACACAGACTCATGTGGTTTTCTAGCTATTTTTCTGAAATTTGAAACATCAAAAATGCTCACTAGAGGGCACATTCTCACTTTTCAGGATGTTTTTCTCATATGCCGGTTTTCCTGGAAATGAAATCAACTTTCGATTTCCAAATGACGCAATATAGAAACTTTTCTTTTTTTACACTCATCGAGCCTATAGCAACTTGTCAATGTCGTACAGCATTTATCAAAACTCCTTCATCCATAGAACGGCTAGGCTCTGGAATTCATTGCCTGAGGAAGTATTCCCAACAACATATAATCTTCAGAAGTTCAAGAAAAATTCCAATACCTACCTCCTATCCCTATCCTCCCTAGGAACGCACGATGTTCTTTGAACATTATAGGAATTCCCTTTCGTGCGCTCCAAGCGATAAAATAAAATAACCCAATCGAACCCAGTATTGTTGAATTCTTCATAATAATCTCTAATCGATTATGGAATCAAATACAGGGTTTTAGTTTTGAAAATCGAAAGTTGATGTCATTTTCAGGAAAACCGGAAGATGGAGAAATATTCCTAGAATGTAAGAAAGTGCCCTCTAGTGAACAAGTTCGATGTTCCAAATTTCAGGAATGTAGCTAGAAAAATAAAGGAGAAAAGGGGGATATACCATGAGTCAGTGTTACCCGGTATAAAGAAGAAGACTTTCTTTCACCCCAACAATATGTCCTTGAAATATTTACATCGAATTTGGAATCACCCTGTATTATCGAACCATTGAATAAGTATCACTATGCAATGAAGGGGCCTCAAATGAATGGAGATGCCTCGGAAGCAGCCAAAGTATCTAGAACTTATATTATCATAAACAAATAAGCAATAAGCAAATTTCAGCATCCTTTAGTTAGAATGAGTTCTCGTGGTCAGTTCCAAAGATTGTGTCCCTGAGGTTACTATGAAGTCGATCAAAGAAGAGTGATGCATGGAAAACATTACACAGACCTGTGACTCTCATCTAGAATAATTATTATTATAGTTGGAGGCGAACAACAACAAACTTATTCGGTATTATTTCCTGGCATGAGGATATTTGAAAACTGAATTCTGATTCTATTTCGCCAATTTTTCAGATACTAGATAATATGAAATGAAAAAATAATTTGATGTCGGATTTTGTAGAGAAGCCTTCCTTAAAATTTTCAAAATGAGTAGTTGACGCAATGTGCAAGTCAAAATAATGTTTTCCAGATTGTCCTAGAAATCCCAAAAGAATCAGAACCATAAAGAAAAAATTCGATGTCAGATTCAATATAAAACTCATTCTTCGAAGTTTCAAAAGTAGCGATTCAAGCAGAATACTGAAGGCTCATATACACCGTGTCCCAGCTAAAATGTCCCCCTCCGCCCATTGTAAAAAAACCAACCACGCGAACGACTGACTGGAAATTTGCTCGCCCAGTATATTTGATAATGCATGCTCCAAAGTTGCCATTAAATAAATCGTTTTTACACAGGGTCACACCGAAGTGCACCTAAAGTGTCTTATTTGAATAATGACACCCAGTATATTATTCTACATTCAAGTAGAGCTCATTATAACAAATTCAACAATGCCAGTAGTGATGGTATTTTTTTAAAGGACAACGAAGATAAGATATGGCAAATAATAAAACGATTCAATTAAAAATAAATTTGTGATTTTCTCTTTCATTTCTTTCATATAATCACCACTGGCAACTCATAAACCTGTTGTTTCAAGTTGTCCCACATATATTCACTGTCAAATTATCGTTATTACTTTATCATAGGATAAGTATCTACATGTCGATATTTCTCCCCCTTCCATTATTCTATAGTTCTTCAACCATATCTTCGTAGTATCTGCGAAACCTGGCAGCTCTACTTAAAAATGGAATAATACACTGGGTGTCCCTATTCAAATAAGAAAGTTCAGGCGCACTTCGGTGTGAATCTGTATACATAAGATTCATTAAATAGCATATTTCGAGTTAGCATCATCGAATATACTGGGTGACCTAATTGCAAATCTTTCGATCGCGCGGTTGATTTTTTACATGGGGGACATGGTATGTAGGCCGAACAAATTTTTTTCCAGATTGTCCTTAAAATCGAGGAAGATAGTCATTGACATCAATTCAGACCCATTATTTGGATGCTTTAGGCTCATAAAAGTCGAAGAGAATCGTGTTTTTCTGATTGTCCTAAACGCCTCAAAACATTTATAGACACTGATTTAGACCTATGAAAGAAAGCATTCTCAATTTAAATTTTCAAAATCAGCGGTTCACACTATGCAGTAGGCTCATACATGAGAATATTTTTTCCAGATTGTCTTGAAAAATGAACTCGTTGTTGAGGCAGGAAGCTCATTCTTTGGATTTTCAAAATTAGCGGTGCGCAATGCAATAAGCTCATACAGGTCGAAAGATATTTTGCTGACTCTATTGAAAATCACAAATAATTCATAGACATTGATTCAGACACATAAGAATGAATTCGATGTCGGATTCAGTATAGATTAATCGCAATTCAGTTTTTTACAATAAGCGGTTCTAGCAATGCAGATGTACAGTTCAAGGAATATTTTGTTCCTGATCGTCCTGAAATTCCTATAACTAAAGAATGCATAGACACCAATTCAGACCCATAAAGAAAGAAGTGAGATTTAGTATGATACTCTCAATTCAGATTTTCAAAATAAGAGGTTCACGAATTCAGTAGACCCATAAAAGTCCAAATAATTCATTTCTTCAAATGGCATAGAAAGTGGCTTTACTATGACAGTCAACAAGCAGCAAAGTTGTAATTTCTCCCTAAGCCCTAAAAGTTTGTTGCTATTCAACGTTCCAAGTAATTTGAATTCAATTGGTAATCAAAATTGACAGTGACATTAGGTAAACACAAAAATTATTATTATTTTAATCATCAATTTTGATTTTTGAAATTAGCGGTTCATGCAATGCAGTATAGGCTTCTACAGGTGAAGGATTATTTTTTTCCTGGTTGTCAATGAATCCTGAAAAAACGCATTGACACTGATTCAGACACATAAAGAAGAACTCCCAAGATATACATAGACACCAATTCAGACCCATGAAGGAAGAATTAGATGTCAGATTTCAGAATTCAAAATTAGCGGTTTCATACAATGCAGTAGGATGTAAAGGTCGAGAAATATATTTCCCAGGTTGTCCTAAAATTCCCAAAAGAAATTATAGACACTGATGTTTCAGACCCTTAAAATATCGGATTCTGTAGAAAACAAATTAAGATATTTTTCAAAATGAGCGGTTCACGCAATGCAGTATATAGGACCAAACAAGTCGAAATAACTTCTTCCAGATTGTCCTAAGAAGCCCAAAAAACATTAATTGAGACCCAAAGGGCAAGATTTTGATGTCAGATTCAATAGATAACTCATTCTTCGAATTTGCAGAATTAGCAGTTCATGCAATGCAGTAGGCTCATATACTTACAAGTGCACTGCCAATTGCCTCAAAAAAATAGTGCACGAACAGATATGTACCTTTCCTATTACCTGACAGCGAGGCGGTGGGACTGTGCTCATTGACCACCAGATGCTGGATATCCACGGCCGACTTGGACCTCCTGGGCGGCGGGTTCAGCATGGCGATGCACGTGCTGCCGACAAAGACGGAGTTCTGCCGCTGGCGACGGATGATTGGGGAGGGGAGAACGGAGAGGGGATCGGTTAAAGCGTTGACGTTGTACTTGGAGAAGGACATTCGCGCCTGGAACGTACAGGGGCACGGTGAGAATTCGCGGCGTGTGGGCTGATAGCAGATCGATTTTACTAAATATACTGTACGCTAGCACGAACGACGCCCAGCGTGATACGTCATATCTTCGAACATCACCGATAACCACGTCGTCAGCATATCGCACTAAATATACTTAGACCGGTAGGTCGCACTAAATATACTTAGACCGGTAGGTAGTGACAGCTTTTTGGACGTGATTTCACCCAGTATGCCTTCTGGAGAATATCATTATGTATACTTCTTGAAGTTAAAAAATGATTTATGAAAGAATCCTTCCAGGTTCTAATCAAACGTGAATAGAACAACGTTTATTGATATATGATAAACAAAATTAATGAAAAACCAAGCCAACCTTCATTGAAGTAATTATAGAAGAGTGACTTAATGAAATCCAACTTTTACAAGTAGCTGAACGCTTCCGAAATTCGATGACAATGTTCAGCTTCGAATTCTTCAATCTTAAATTGAAATTTGGAACACAATATTTTCTTGATGTAAACTGAAAAATTCTACAGGTAACGTTCTGTCCCTATGATAAATCGATCGATCTTTTTGATTTTGATGCCGAAACTAGCAAAGGGATGTACCCTTCTCTTTGAATCGACACTTGTACTACGAATTCTGTATTCGGTGTTGATCTTGAAGTTTGAAATTAGGCAAAGGATTTCAATGAATCCATTGTATTTTAGTGCTCCTACTGAATGTCTTGACTCGTTTACTACATTGTGTATCAGAATCAATATTCTCTTCACTGCGGCTCAGATATTTTCGCACCCTCACGTGAAAATTTGTACTGTTCTCAAATGAAACAGCCTTCTACTTGTGCAAATTCACGTATGGATTCTGAGTTTTACCCATTTCATTAATAAGATTTAATAATGTACTAGAAACACGGCTATCATAATTGGTAGTTGTGCTGAAGCTCAGGAGCGCAGTATATTTCGTGTGATGTGCTGACGTCAAGTGTATATCTGAGTATAACGGAGATGCTTGAAGATAACGTATTACGGTGGGCGAGGTTTGTGCTAACATACAGTATATTTTGTTATATCGCAGGTGGGTACTCGAGTACCGGGTACCTCGTACTGTCCATAATTGAGTCACTAGTGAAGAGTACCGAGTACCTCACTCATTGGATGTACTCAGAGTAAAGTACTCCGAGTAAAAGTACAGAAATGTCACGGGTACATGATATATTGAGAAATTTTTTATATTGATGAAAAAAAAAAAAACAACTCAACTTGCCATAATAATATTGCTGAAAATGTAATGATGGTGAAAAAAAATGTATCAGTGATCAGTGAGTTCACCAATTCATTTCTCAATCGCTATTAAATGACGTATATGATGTTGTCCACGTCTATACTAAGAGAAATATTATTGCAAAGTACTAAACCCTTGTCTTCGTTTAGTCTTCAGACAACAACAAAAACGACAGAAAAAACTGGACTCTATAACCATTATCTATACAAGGTGTCCCAGAACAAAGTAACATAAAATAGGCCGATTGAAATTGCCCTACGAATTTCTGAGCAGTATCTTTCAAGGAAATCAAAATATTGGTAAGTTGATTTTATTCGGCCTGTTTAGCATTGCCAAAAGTACCCATACTCGATTAGTGAACGCGGGTACCGGGTACTTTTCCTTGGAAGCTACGGGTACGGTTAGCGAGTATTGAAGATGTCCTCGGGTACTGTAGGTACTGGGTACTGAGTACGTACGAGTTTGGTGAGTGGGTATAAAACCAACAAATCAATAAAGCAGGAATTGGTGTTCTTCTTGAATTTCTGGAGGTCATATGCCTCGGAGAACACATCCCTTGGCAACGAGTCTTTGGAAGAGATGTTCCTGCAGGGACTGCCAAGAGAGGAACATTTGTTGATATTTCAGAAGCATCGTCCATGAAAATATCTATTAAATAGAGCCAGATCGCCAACTTTTCTACGGTGTTCCAGAGAAGTGAGTGAGTTTGTGAGTGAGGCATCACCCACGAGACGAATTTCCCTTTTTTGGACAGAATTTCAACGTAAATATCAGTTTGAAACCAGTGGAAACTGCCCGGTTCTCAACAAAATTTTTCACAGGAAATAAACGTGACATATCAACGTTCAAATAAGTTCATAAAAAAATATATTGCAACGTTCACTTCAAATCAATTTTCAATCGTCCAATTTTCGGTTTATTCAACGTTTTAATCAGATTATTTTTCGTTATTCTTGTGTCTATAATTATTTTATCAATATTCTCATAAATACTATAATTATTATTATACCTTATGGATGACGTATCAAGTAACTCAAAAGTTATGAATATGTGAATTCAAATCGTTGAAGTAAACAAGAATATGTTGTTTGAATCTACAGGTTATTTCTAGCAATTAATCTACCGCACATTGTGAATGTGTCGTTTCATTAAGATAAATAGAATGACGTTTTGTTGCTTGAAAGTATCAACGTTTTATTTTAACGTTCAATAGTGGTTGTAGATGAACACAGAGTGATGAATTGTTGGGAATAAAACGTCTAAATAACGTATTTATTTTACCGGTCGTCTTCAACCAAATTTCAACGTTGAAGTCTTCAACCAAATTTTAACGTTGAAGTCTTCAACCACTAACATTATTTCTACGATTCCAACCATTATTCAACGTTTCATCAACGAGTGTGTGTTTACTGATAAATATAAAAATATCTGTTTCTGCATTCTCACTCTCAAGGATCACTTCGAAAATCACCTCAATGGTTCTCTTGAATATGCCCTGTAGCATTCTCTTGGAAATCCCCTTGAGATTACATTGAGATTACTCGTGATTACCCCTCTGACACTCCTCGAAAACTTTCAGATAATATTTCACAGAATGAGAAATGTTCGATAAACTATCCGCTATTGACCTGAGGGAAAATAATCCAGTATTTTCCTCAGAGCTGCACCGTCATGATGGAACATATTTCTTTATAGAGTCGTATAATCGTAGTGAACCCGAGCCAGAAATAAATTTCTTCAAATGGCACATACAGACTGGGAAGTTGGGATAGTAGAGCGTGTAGACATTTTACTTCTATCATTCCGAAGCTAACCTATTTCCTTAGATAAGCTATTGTGACGAAAAGTCGCTAGCCATTGTAGTCAGATGATGTTTAGAACACAGACATACTTTTTCATGATGGTTTGATTTGTTATCAAGGGAAATGGAGGTATATTGAGTAAGGTGAAGTTTATTCAAAACCAATTGCAGAGTTTCGTGCCGCACGTGCACTCACTTCAAAGGGTACTTCAAATTGAAGGGCACGGGGCAAAACCGGTCAGCTCCAATTTTTTTTCCCAGAAAATGGTTTTCTATGGATCCTATGCAAAGAATTATTATTCAATTTTTAGTGATGACGGTACAGGCAGAATGGGAGATATGACAGCACTTGGGTGCAAGAATCAGTCAACTCAAATAAAAACTAGAATAACACCAAGTCGGTCGACCACAAAAATTATATAACACATTTTGTGACTAGTTTCGGCTCAAACAGTCATCTTCAGACACATCAGTACACAGTACCTGTAAAGATATTCAATTTACAGAGGAACAATGAGTTGTTGGGGAAAAACATACCTATAAGGCCCTGTGGAAATCACATTATTGAAATAAAAAATTAAAACAGTCCTGGAATCGTTTGACTAAAAAATCAGTCCGGTGAAGGAATACTAAAATTTTTCAACCGACTAAACAACCAAAATACCTCTACGATCATCAGGTTCAACAATGGGACAAGATTGGGAAAATATTACTTCAATTCACTCAGGAGTTACATCTTCAAATGGCCATTTTTTTTGTATTATGTAGTAGGTCATCTTATGGAGTGTTAGTAGAGGTAAGTTGCTGGTCATTTTCAGACGATAACATCAAGGCGTTCGTGAAATATCGTTCATCAAAGATTTGCCACGATCGAAATATGTTTGCAACCAGCACTGCACAGTTGGTAAAAAAATAACTGGAAATTAACAGCTGCTTTCAAAATGAAACATGTGCGTGTGGGATATTTGCATTTGGAAATGCATCATGAAATTTATACCGGCAGCTTTCAAGTGAATCTGCCCACGTTCCATCAGGATTACCAGTACCACTTCTGAAATGTGCCAGTCAATAAATATTGAACTATATACCAGTGAAAATAATTTTGTCCCTTTCCGAAAACTACCATATCTACACCACCCACGAATAACTCTAATAATAAATACCATATTTTCTGCTCCAGTACACGAATTGATTAAATATCTGGAGTATTTATGAATCAATCATGATCAATCAATGAAACTACAATATTATTATGGCAACCTGTATACTAATGGTGACTAACTGCGTACAGGATTCAGAAAGCCGACTACGTGTATAACACTTATTATCGTTATGGTGCTTAGTGGTGCTTCAAATGTGGTTAGTTAGCAATGCTCGAAAATGTGTAGAACGCCAATGTGCTTGTTAGTGATTAACATACGGGGTGGGGTGGCTGATGAAATCTCAAATAGAGAAACCTATATACAGGGTTTTGAAAAAAACCTGACCCCCTTGCTAGGGTAGATAGAAGATTGCAAAATAAGTTGGTTTTGCTTAGTAAAAAAATGTCGTAACGCCATCCGTTTTCAAGATACAAGGTGTTGAAACAATATTTTTTTTACACATTTTTTACGATTTTGTTGAAACTACTGGCAACATTGTGATGAGATTTTGTATGGATGTTTCTTTGAATCTGACACATCGCATGCATTTGTTTTCATATCTGACTCTCATAGAGGGCGCTAGTTACACGGTTCGTACCGAGTAATTTTGAACATAACTTTTTTGAGGTTGGATTTTTCAATGCAAATTTGAAGTCAACTTGAACATCACTCAATTTCACACCGAAAAGGTACTCCTGGTAAAACTCGATACTGTGTTCCGTTCTCGGAATATTTCGATTTGAAAATGATGAAGTGTTAACTGT